GAAATGTATTTATCAGCAAAGCAATTTGGAACCATTTGGATCAAATAAGGTAGTATTTGTCAAGTGCTTAGCATAGTGCTTGGCACATAGTAGGTGCTTAATAAATGCATGTTTTAGTCCCTCTTCTCCTTTCCCTCCACTTAATGAAAGATTGCTCTTCAGTACATACCTCAGTAGCCCATAAAGGTATTGTTAATTCTGGGAGATAAGAACTATCATCTAGAATATATTAATAACAATAATAATAATAATAACAGCAACAACAATAACAGTAACATCAACAACAATGATATCAGTAGTCTAGAACAGTGGTGTCAAACTCAAATAGACCACCAAGCTGGATGTAAGGATCCCTGACTTAAAAAAACACATATTAACATTATTACTTAGGTTCTGTTGTGTTTTTATTAAATATTTTCTGTATCTGCTTCATCTGTGTATTGGTACTTCTGGTCTAGAGCAGTATTTCCTATTCTTTTTAAGTATAAGGGTTGCATGTTAACATCTAGAAATTTCACGTACCTTTTCATGTTTTTAGTTGTATTGTTAGTATCCATAGATTCAGAAGATAGATGATGATAAAACCCTATTATGAATTCAATAATACTTTCAAATGAATTTATATTAATTATAACTTATATGTAACTTAAAAAGTGTTATTCATAGATTTTGTTTTTAAAAGCACCATCCCTTACATCTAAGAATAAAGGAGAAAGGAAAAAAAATTCAGCAAAGTTCATCAAAGCATCTACCAAGTGTCACATGTACACTGTTCTGCATTTCACAGTTTCCCATATTTACGAAGAAGGATAGGAGCCACATTCTCATATTGCTTCTTTGGAGCCAAGTGTGATCTTACATTACAATCTTGATGTTATTATTTCCATTTCCAATGTTGTATTCATTGTGTATATTGTTTTTATGGTTCTGTTTTTTTAAAAAAGTTTCTTTTTTGGCTTACTTTGCCATAGATCATGTATCTTCCCACTCTTCTCTGTATTCTTTATATTCATTATTTCTTACTGAAAAATGTTAATAAATGTAAGTGTGAGATATTGTTTGTTATGCTGCACATGATGGCACTTGGTGTGCATATGATTTTGTGGATATCTTTCAGTGTTGATGTACCTCTTACCTCCCAGAGGATCAAAACCCACACATTTAAAATCTCTATTCTAGAGACTTTAGTGAAAGAGCATATCATGATGAATGTATTGTAGTTTATAGGATAATACAAATATTGGTGCTCATCCTGATGACCTTGAATCATTAAGAAAAGAAGATGGAACTTGGATCAGCGGTCAGGAGACCTGGAATCTAGTTATGGCTTTTCCTTGTAACTGACTGTGTGGCATTAGGAAATTAATTAACCTCTCTGGGTCTTTCATTCCCACATGTAGTCATGAAGAGACTTGGACTGAAATATCTCCATGGTCCCTTGGACAGCCTCATTGTTTAGCAGAAATAAAGCTGGTGTGGAATCAAAGGACATGGGCTTTAATCCTGGTCCTCCCACTTGTGCCAATGTGACCACAGGCAAACCCTTCTGAGACTCAGTTCGTCATCTGTAAAATTAGGGGGTCAGACTAGATGACCCCTGACGTCCCTGCCAACTCTAAATCTGTGGTCTTAGGATTCTGACAATTGTGGGAGAGTATGATTTGGTATCATTCTGTTAAATTTATTGTCTTTACTCACCAAGGTGGGAGTGTATGCAATATGGCTTAGAAATAAAATTCCATCAGAATGTATACAGTTGAGAATTTTCTTCTCTTGTAAAGAAATTAGCTTCTGTCATATGGAAAATTCTCTAATCCATATTATTTATTCCTTAAGGATAAGGGTTAGAAAATACTCTGTATACATGCAAAGAACATGTCTGTTTCTAATTACTTTACAGACATAAATTTGCACTTAGAACTTCTAGGAAGGTAGAAACCATGCATTAATAGTGATGCATTTTATGTCTTATTTAATAATTACATTGATGCTCTTCTTTTTAAAAAATTAGCATGTAGTTTTCTGTCCTTAAATCTCTCATTTAGATACTTAAAACTCTGCATAGTAGAATTTTAGCATTGAAATAAGGAAATAAGCAATATCCACTGATGTTGGAGCAATGTTATTTTACTGTACTAAGAAGTTGTTTTCTGAGGTTTCTTTATTGAGGTACAGATAACAAACATGAATGCAAACTATAATCAACAAAGTCTCTTCCCTTAGTAGGTCAGAGTAGAGTTGATCAACTTAGTCAGGTTACTCTTACCCCTTTTAAAATAAATAAGATGCCCAGTCATTCTCAGTCATAACTTTAAATGACAAAAGTTCTTGGAACTAGAGTTTTGTGTGTAGATGAGTGTCAGGAAGGTCAGTCAGACCCCAGGGATCATCTGTAAATTATGAAGTTAGTTATAGAACCTGAATCATTACAGAATTTGGAGCAAGTGCAGCATTCCAGCCAGCCCCTCTTTGATAAGGAACTGCTTGGGAGAGGAGGGACCTTGATTCTGGCCTTGGCCTAGGTCTCCTTCCTCCCATCTTCCTGCCTTTGGCTGAAGAAGCCTTGCTGTGTATAGAAAATCCATCTATTTGAACTTTGTGTGGGTTATGGCAAATACCTTTGGTGAGTGCACATTCTTCCTTTTTATACCTTGCTTGACACTGATCAGAGGATTGTTGAACAAAATTATCTTTATAGATACATCTGTAACACTGTTGCAATAATTATCTTATTTTTAAACCTAGAGACAATGTAATGACCCTCTAGGGTCCATATGGTTTCCACCTCTGTAACTTTATTGAATTTATTTTAGATGAAAAAGTCAGCCACAATCTTTATTAGGTAAGATCATTTACTTGAATCAGTCAGGCAGAGGTAGTGTTAACAGGGCTGTACACTTCCTTGAAAAAGGAACTTGCACAAAAGAGATGAGCTGTCTCAGAACCTGATAGAAATTCCAAGTGTCTGGAAGTGGAGGAAGGAATAGGGTCATACAGAGGAGCTGTGAAGAAGTTGCAGCTCAGAAGCAACCAGCTAGTGGTAAAAGGAAGGTAGGATTGAACTGTGATAGAGAGGGGATATATCAAGAAGAGAAATCTATCAGCTCTCCCGGATGTCTCACTGCAGAAGACCAGTGTACCTAAGAAAGGGTCTACTTTTCCCCCAACTTCCCCTCTCAGTGTTTATCTGTCCATAGGCACCATAATATCATCTGCTGTTTTGTTACTCACATGTGTCCAGTAATGAATTTTCCCTCAATCCCAAAGAAGCCAAAGGTTAATTAGAGATAGATATGTAAATTAAAGCAGAGCATCCTACCTCTGCTTAGATATTGGGAATTTTCTTAACTGAGGGTTCAGAGACATTGTAATTGAACTCAGAAGTTTTTATCTAAATTAGACTTGCCAAAGTCACAGAGGAGGGATCTTAGTTTAAGCCATATCCAAGCAAAAATAGCCTCTATAGTATCCATCCCCAAGTAGTCACCCAGTGTCCACTTTAAAACCACTGCTTCCTTCAAAGGAAATCTATTCTGTTTTTGGACAAGGCTAATTATTAGGAAATGTTTCCTATTACTGAACTGAAATCTACCTCTCTGCCCATTACTCTTTGGGGACAAGCAGAGCAAGTCTAATACCTTTTTCTATATGACAGTCTTTGAAATTCTTCAAGATAGATATCATCTGCCATTATCCTTCCTTTCTTCCCACTATTCTCAGGCTTCCCTTCTTTAGGCTGAATAACTAGTTTCTTCTACTGTCATAGGTCATCCTGTGTCCTTGTGAGGTTTCCAGTCACCTCACTGTCCTGGTTGCTCTCCTCTTATTGTCAGTGTCCTTAATTAAATGTGGCACTTAGAATTGAACATAGTATTCCAAATGTGGCTTACCAAATCACATCTCTTGATTTGTACACTATTGATTGCAGGCTCAACTAATGTTTTTAATTTAATTTAATTAAAAATTTTAAAAAGAAAAAAGCCCATTAAACTGCTGGTCTGTAAGACTGAAAATCCATATATTTGGAGGTAGGAGAGTTACAATTGACTACTAATACAGTGTTATGCAAATGCCTGGGTTCACATAGCATTAAAATATTCAATGTTTCTTCATTTGAGGATATTTCATTAATGCTTTTAGAACATTTGTCTCTTTAGCTCTTATACCTAAAATCTTCATGAGTGTACATTATTATTTCAAAATGAATATACTTGGTGCTCTAAAGTCAGGTGGTAGAGACAGGAGAGGTGTATACTATTGGTGACGTTATAGACTACCTTTATTAATTCTGAGTGGTCTTAGGCAAAAATTTGATTAAAATTGGCAGAGGAACTATGCGAATTTTTCTCTATTCCATGATTCAGCTTAATCACTCAGTAGACATTTATTAAGCACCAACTATGGGCATGGCATTTTGTACTAAGTGGTGGTAGTAAAGGTATGAAAATGAAACAGTAGCTGCCCTAAAGAAACTTAGATATTTTACCATGAGGGGATATAGCACGAACAAGGTTGAATAAATAGTAGTAATTTAAGGAAACAGCCCATTAACACCTTGGGAAGATCAAGGAGGGATTCACACAGGAAACTGTTACCTGAACCTGAGTCTTGAAGGAAGCTAGAGATCCTAAGAGAGTTGAGAAGGGCAAGCATTCTAGACATGTAGGCCAACCTGTGCAAGGGCTTTCAGGTAGGAGGTGGAGTGCTAAGTTTAGGGAGCAGTTAATAGACTGGATTGGCTGAGTTTTGTGTGAAAGGAGGATAAGATGAAAAAAATTGGAAAAGGTAGTAGTCAGATTGAGGAGGTCTTTAAATGCGAGGCTGAGGACTTTGCATTTATCCTAGAGATAATAAGGAATCACTGAAGATTTTTGAGTAGGGAGTGACGTGATGGGGGCAAGTGTTAAGCTTCCAGTGTAAATGAACTTAATATCTTGTATTATAAGAGCTGCTTTAATTTATAAGTTGGTAGAGCATTTATCCCTTTTTTGTATGTGCAGACAGTCAAATGTACACTTGGGACCACCATGTTCGAGGGACATAAAGAGGAAACGGAAACCTATGACCACAGCATCTCTGTCCAGCCCAACTGCAGGTAAATTGGATTTGATTCCAAGTCTTCCCCCTGTGTTCTGCAATAGACAGAATATTTGTGTTGTGTTGGAGGGATTAATTAACTAATTGAGATAGCTTAAAAGTCTGTGCCTTTACATGTTTGCTTAATAGGTGCAGTATGCTTTACTTAGACTTGGAAATGACCCTGGTTTCTCAAAGATTCTACCAGTAGAACATCAGCTTTGGCAGATCCTGCCAACCCAGGAAGGTTTTAATTATGGGCCTGCCGATAGATTTGTATCCACTGTCTGAGGACATGTATGTTAGCGCCTAATAAGTTACAAAAGTTTTTGGAGAATCAGTAAACAAGCATTTGTTAAATGCCTGCCCTGAGGCACTTACGTGCTGAGGATGCAGAGACTGCAGTGGACTAACCTGTGCCTACAGGGAGCTTACATTTTGCTGGGGGAGAAAACATGTTTGTGAATAAGTAAAGTATATGCAGAGTAAATGCAGACTAGCTTGGGAGAGAGGATACTAGCAGCTGGGGATTCAGAAAAGGCTTTGTGAAAGAAAGTGGAACTCGAGTGGAGTCCTGAAGTAATTAAACATTTCTACAAAACAGAGGGAGAGGGATTTCATCCCAGGCATGGGTGAGAGATGGAGTATCATTTGTGAGGAAAAGCAAAAATGCTTAGTAGAGAATACTGTAGAGTGAGGGAAAGGTAATTATATGTAATAAGTCTAGAAACGTAGGTTGGGAGCAGGTTTTTCAGGGCTTTGAAATCCAAACAGAGGAGTTTATATTTAATCCTAAAAGCAATAGGGAAACCCCTAATGTTTATCGAGTAGGAGAGTGACATGGTCAGGCCAACACTTAAAACCACAGGTAGTTATGGAGAGGATAGTTTGGAATGGGGAGAGTCTGGGAGGCACGTACACAATTTAGGAAACTATTATTGCCCCAGCAAGTCTGGCTTGGACCAATACTATTATGGCTGTGTAAGGAATGAAAAGAAATCAGATGCCAGAGATGTTGGGAAGGAGGAATTAAATCAGCTGGACCTGCATGGTGTGGGAGACAGAGGAGTCAGGGGGATAATGCTGAGGTTACAGGCTTGAGAGACAAGAAGAATGCTGGTACCCTGGACAGTAATAGGGAAATGTATGGGTGTCCTGAATTTTTTTGGGTAAAAGATAGTGGTTTGTACATGTTGAGTTTGGGATTTGAGTGGAATATCTAGTTTGAATTGTCTGGTAGACACGTTAAGTGGTGTGGAACTGAAGCTCAGGAGAGAGACTAGGGCTGGATATATGGATCATGTAGTCTTCTGTGGAAACTCATGGGAACTGATGACATCACTAAGTGGGGGAGTATAGACGGAGAATAGACGAGGGCTCAGGCCAGAGCCTTGGGATGCTGTGATTTGGGTTATGCTCCATCAGAGGAGACTGAAAAGAAGTCAAGACAGGCAGAAGGGGAACCAAGAGATAGTAGTGTCCCAAAAAGTCAGAGAGGAGAAGGTATCCATGAAAAGAAGGGTGGTCAACATTTTAAGATGCTACAGTCAACAAGTATGTGTTAAGCTCCTACTGTGTGCCTAGCAGTATGCTAGGCCCTGGGCATACAAAGACAAGAGAGAAGGAAAGAATCCTTGTTTGAAAGGATGACTTTCACACCTGATAATTGTTCTTCACTCCTTATCCCTTTCAAACAAGGATTCTTTCCTTCTCTCCTTATCCTTTAAGAGAAGGATCCTTTCCTTGGATCCTTCATTCCTTGGATTCTTCCTTCCTTTTCTTGATCCTCCTTTCTTCTTCCCTCCCTCCCTCCCTCCCTCCTTCCCTCCTTTTTTCTCTTCTCCTTTGTACCCCCAGGGGCTTGCATATTTCTGGCCACATAGTAGGAGCTTTACAGATACTTGTTGGCTGACTGTAGCATTTAACAATGTTGACCACCCTCTTCTTATGGATGCCTTCTCCTCTAGGTTTTTGCGACACTGCCATCTCTTGGTTCCCCTCCTGCTGGTCTTGAATTCTTCTTAGTCTCCTTTGATGGAACATAGTCCAGTCACAGCCCTTAATTGTGGATGCATCCCAAGGCTCTGTCCTGAGCCTTCTATTCCACTGTGCCACTTAGCTATCCCATGAATGTAGACAGCTTTTTTTTTTTTAGGAGTTTAGCTTAGAAAGGCAAGAGAAATATAAAATAATAAATTAAAGGTCTTCATTAATTAGGGTCAGTAAAAGTTTTTTAAAGATAGGGAGACTGAGGCATTTCCCTAATGCCTATTAGGGAAAAAACCAGTAGATAGGAAGGGATTGAAGATTAGAGAGAACAAATGACCAAGGGGGCAGTCTTCTGGAGAAGATGGGAGTAGATGTAATCAAGGGCTCATATAAAGGGATTGATCTTATGAGCAGGACCACCTTATCAGAGACTAGAGTAAAGGAGACAGAGGATGATCAAGGGAATTTTGAGATGAAGAGAAAAGGAAGGGAGAAGAAAGAGTAAATGGCCTCAGCTTTCTCTGTAAAGTATGAGACAAGGTCCTTAGCTGAGAGGAGGGGAAGGTGAAGATGTGTGTGGAAGACTTGAGAGAAGGTTTGGAATTGCCTCTTTGGGGAGTGGCATAGAAAATCAGTTTGGGAGTAGTAAATTTTTTTTTTACAGCAGTGATGACCCAGTTGAAGTTAGATAACATAAATTTGTAATGTACCCATTTGTAAAGGTTACATGAATTCCTCTAGCTCTGTTCTGCAGTATATGAGTGGGGGTAGAGGAGGTAGATAGTAGGAATAATCCAGGGTTGGTGTTGGTGAATCATGAACAGTAAGTGGAAAGATAAGTGGATCAAGAGAGTAGAAGGTGGTGTGGAGTTGAACTGGTTAATAATTATAGGGTTGAGATTGGTAATGGAGAAAAGTGAAGTCAAAGTAGTGTGATAGCCAGAGAAAATACTGGGGGTAGAGGCACTGAAGATCTCTGTGAGGATAAATGAATGATAGGTTTATGAGAGGTCCAGCATAGGAAGAGATGGGAAGATAGGTTATGATTGGAGGGTCATTTTTTTTAATTGTGGAAGTGGAACACTTGTAGTTAATGGTGAGATTTAGGCTGTGAATCAATTCAGTCCAATCCAGTAAACATTTGTTAAGCATCTACTACTGCCAGGTACTGTGCTGAGCGCTGGGGATGTAATGAATAAAAAGACAGTCCTTGCTGTCAGAGAGTTTACAGTGTAATGAGGGTGAGGGGCAGCACAAAAGGAGGCAGGAAAGGGGGAGATGGAGGCTCAGGGGGAGGGGGGAGATGAGACACAAGGGGTTATCAGCACGGAGGCATCTTGTTCTGTGCAGTTGAAACCAGGCAGAGCAACAGATGCAGAGTGGAGTGAGCCCAAAAGCTACAGTTTCTGACCTCTGTAATGGAAGGCATTGGGAGCAATTTGGTATTACATCCCACAGTCAGAGGGGAGAGGAGGCCCTTAGTCAAGGCCTGAGTTAACAGCATAGTGATGAGATTAGAGGTGATAAACTTAACCTGGAATGGGCATGCAGAGTAGAGTGAGGTCTTGCGATCTTACCTCTAGAAGATTGACTGCAGGATCTTTTTTTTTTTTTGACCAGAGCAACTCATAAAGACCTTCTCCCAAGGCATAAAGGATGTGTGCTCTACACTAGTCAAACAAGTATCCTCTCCAATGAAATCATGGTTCCTTAAAGTATTTATAATGAAAACTCACTAATGGAAGAATATCTTGCCTGTCAGACAAGTCCCTGATTTAAAATGTACAGTCATTTATATTTTGCAATGGAAATTTGTCATAGTTTTGTATTTCCTTGGAATTTGGAGGGAAAAAATGGGGGAAAAAATGTAGAGCCAAAAAATAATCCTGAATGTCATTTTATTACAATTAAGGGTACATTGCTTTTGAAAAATAAAGGAGGCAAATCTTTCAAGACCCATCAAAATTAAAATGATCTGGAGTCCTTTCTTAGTGATATTAAATGGAGTATGTCATTTGTGCTAGGTTTATCTGAAGACAATAAAGAAGGGATTTACAAATGAAGTTACAGAGCAGCAAATGGTGGCTAGGAGGAGGATGAGCCTCAGAAAAATAAGGGTCCTTCCTTCCTTGCACAAATGACTTCCCATTTTAAAGTTTTTCATACTCAGACTATTCTTCTGTTGTATTTCAGTTGACTGTTAAAAGTGTTTCACACTTGGCGAACTGAAGAGTCTTAATCAAAGGACTAATAGAGTTAGTATCTGCCCAGTTCTCCTGGATGATATCCGTACACTCTCATCTATTCCCATAGCAACTAGTGCCTTCCAGCATCTCTTCCCTCATCTTTGTTGTGACTTCATTCTTTTTTTTTTTTATTGTCCATCCATCTTCTCTATTTTTAGCATTTATTCTTTGTAGAAGAAGAATGATTGCGAAGAGTTTTAAAAATTCAGGGCCTTGTCTAATGTGAGGAATAACCAAACAGAAATTAAAAGAGGTGTGCTTTAAACCTTTTCTCTTTTGGAGCCTTAACTACTCTTGTCTCACTTGTTGACCAGGTCTTGCTTCAGTGAGTTTTTTTTTCCTTTTCTTTTTCTTTCTTGTTTTTTTGCAACCTGAGTGCCCCATAGAGGTGAAGGACACAGCCCAAGCTCACACCATCAGTCAGTAGAACAAATGGGCTTGCTCTGCCTAACATCGGGCCATCTCAGATTCCACCTCTTTTATAGAAATGAGTGATGAAGAGAGGTGCGTTCCGCTATGCCGCTGTATTAATACACATCAGGGGCCAGCTCCCGGCACTAAATCACGCTACTGCATACATCTGTTATCAGACTCTTCACCAGTGTGATGAACAAGACTGCAGATAGAGGCTTCCTCGTGTCATTCTTTATAGGATTTTCCTAAAAGAATAAATAGCTCAGATCTCTGACAACACTCTCCCCTGTCATTGTGATGAATTCAGCTTCTTTCTTAAACATGCAGCCACAAATCTTTCCCTGTTTTCCCCTCCCCTCCCCTGTCTGTATAAAGTTTTGAGTGAAATTGACTGAATTTAAAGATGTTAATAAAGGGGTAGTGAATAAAGAGCAGAAATGAGTTGTGAGCCTTCTTTACCTTTTTTAGTGGTAGAAATGAGAGATCATGGAAAAGATCTGTTCATAGAATCATTGAGAAGGTAGTAACTTCTTTTCCTTCTCTTTAAATCATCTCACTTGAAAAGACTTTATGCTTCCCATGTGATTCAAGTGACCAGCACACAGAACCACACCTAGATTTGCCACCTAGGGAAGGTTCCAAATTTGTATGTCACTATTGGAATTGTATAGTAAATCAGCTGTCTCAGGTTGAGTGAACTTTGAAAACTGTTGTTACCAGATAAAAGAAATTGGGATATTTTCTAAGTATAATTGAAATCAACTAGCTAAACAAATAAGGAACCCAGATGAAAATAGAACTTTATTTCCTTGAGATGATGTGATTTTTGCCTGCTAGAGAAAGTCATGAAACCATATCTAATTTGGTTCACTACAGATATTATCGTTGACTTATCTCAACTTGGTCTTTATCCATAACGCAGCATTTTTTTTTTTGTTATTGACTCCTTATCACACTTCCTATAGCAACTGTTCTAAACCTTATTTTTCTTCAGCTTTACGCTTTCCCTCTACCTTCCTCCCCAGCTTTCAGCAGATAACTTCTACAAAGACTGAGGTAATTATCCTGAGCTAACTCATTTCCATTCTTTTACAACAGAAAACCTGACCATGTATTCATCAGTCTTCACTTCCTTTCACTCCAGTATCAGAAGATGAGGTGTTTCTCTTCCATTCCAAGTCTGACATGTTCCATACCCAGAATCCCCCCTGTATCAAAGAAGAGAGTAATGAGATACGTTTTCCTTATGTTGTTCCTAGGGCTAATTATGCTTGCTAAAATTAAAATTTCTTTTTTGTTCTTTTCGTGTTCCCTTTTTTTTATTCTTTCTGTTTACATTGAGGTGGTCATTGTGCATATTTGTTTCCTGTTTCCTGAACTCTACATTAATTCGTATGATGAGGTTTCTCTGTATTCTGCATATTCATCATTTCTTACTGCATTGTAATATTGTATTATGTTCATACGCTATAACTTGTTTAGTTATTACCCAGTTGGTAGATACCACTTTGTTTCTAGTTCTCTGCTACCACAAAATGCGCTGCTTTGAATATTTTGATGTGTATGGGGCCTTTCTTTTTGTCATTGACAACCATATGGTATATGCTTACCAGGGAGACATTTGAATGGTCCAGAACATTTGGAACAATTCAGGTATGTCTCTATGAACATATTAGTGTGCTTGTCTTCCCACGGTCTTGCTAACATGACTATCGTCATCTTCTACCATCTTTGCCAGTTTACTGCTCATAAAGTGAAACCTGATTTTGATTTGCATTTCTCTTACTGCGCTGGAGTATCTTTCTCCAGTGACTTCTTTGCCAAATGTGGTGGCATTTTCTTAGTTATTCTCCTTGATCTTTTATGTGCTACTTTGACATCGTTGAGCACTTCACTCGTTCCTTCTTGAAGAGTCCTCTCTCCCTTAGCTGTTCAGTTATTGCCCTCTCCTTGTTTTCTTCCTACATGTTTGTTTTTTTTCTCAGTCGTCTTTGATGGGAATTCTTCTTTTGACTCCTATCCTTATTCCCAAAGCGTGGGTTCCCCCAAGCCTCTTGTCTGCCCTTACCCTTACTCTTCTTTATCAGTCTTATCCAATCCTATGATTTCATCTATCACCTCTCTACAGATACTGTTAATTTACATAGTGGTTTAAAGTTTATAACACAATTTATGTGATTCCTTTTATTTGATCCTCATGTCAACCCTGTGAAGTAGGTAATAAAATTATCCCCATCTTACAGATGAGGAAATGAGGTTTGGAGAGATCAAATTAAGGTCTCAGGTAAGCATTGGAGCAGGAATCTGGACTTCTATCTTTTCCTAAGGCATTGTTTCTTTAAATGCAGCTGCTTCGCAAATTTATGTCCAGCCTGATTTTCTTACTTGAGTTCCAGTCCTGTATTCCTAATTGCTAGGACATCTTTACCTGTATAGTCTGCTGGCACCTCAAAATCAGCATATACAAAAATGAATTCATCTTTTTTCACTTTAAACCTGTGTTTCTTTCCAACTTCCCTGTTTCATTAATGACACCTCTGTCTTTTGGGTCACCAAGACTCTATATCAGGCCTGCCAGAGAATTTTGGGCTGCCTGCCACTGGGCATTCTCCTGTTTGTTGTGTGACCTGCGGCAGCCAGCCCTTGTCAGTCTGTCTCTATTTACCTTAACTTGGAAAATGAGCTGTTAAAAACCTATCTGCTGCCTGAAGTTTAGCCTATTTTAATTTTGGCACCTAACTTCTGCCAAGTTGTGCAGCTCTGCTCCTATACCGTAGCATCATCTTTGTTTATTTTTCTCTTCCTCATCTCCCACAGCCAATGAGTTGCCAAATCCTATAAATCCTACCCACATAATGTCTCTTAAATTTGTCCTTTCCTCTCTATTTTTAGTGCTATAAGCCTGGTTTAAGCTCTTTAAACAACTTTTGCCTAATCTCTATTATGATAGCTTCTTAAGTGATCTCTCCGACTGTAGTCTTCTTTTTTTCCATCCATCATCCTTGCAAGTGCCAAATAAACTTGATCCTCATACTCCCTTATTCAGAAACTTTCAGTGACTCCCTATTGCCTGTAGGTTCAGACACAAACTTCCTAAACCTGGTGAGTCAAGGTTCATCACAATCAGCCTTCAGCCTTTCTTTCCAGTGCTGTTTTACTCCATTCCTATTTATGAACTCCTGTTCTCTCCTGCCTTTGTGCATTTATTCAGGCCAGCTCCCATTCCTGCACCCAATACTTCCACTTACCCACTGCTGAAATCCTTCTTTCACGTCTTGGCTCAGCTATTATTTCTTTTATGAAGCTATTTTTGATCCTTCCCATCTTTAACTTAAAGCTGTTTCCTTCTTTAGATTTCTTCTAGCATTTTGTCCAGTCTTTTCTGTCATCACATTCTATTTTGTATGATACTTTTTTGTGTATATGCCTAATCCTATCCTATTTGTTTGTAAGCTTGTTGAGGGAAAGTACCATGTCGTTTTTCTGCCTTGTACTCCTGGTGTCAAGTACAGGGCCTTGTATAGAGTAGGCTCTAAGTCAGGAGTTTTTAACCTGGGATCCAGAACCCCTTTTTAAAAAATAATATTTTAATAACTACGTTATAATTTGGTTTCCTTCATAATCTTAAGCATTTTTTGTAAGCATCTAAAAACATTATTCTGGGAGGTGGTCTGTGACACCAAAAGATTGAGAATATCTGTTCGGATAAACCTTTATCTCACTGCATGGAGGACAGAGCGCTGAGCTCAGAGTCAACAAACCTGGGCTGCAATCTCGCCTTGGATGCTTATTGGCTTTGTGATGACAGGCAAGTTACTTAACTTCTCAAAGACTGGTTTCCATGCTTATGAAATGGAGATAATGATAATTGAGCTACCTGCCTCACAGAATTGTTGTGATGATCCAGTGAACCCAAACTTTACAGCGTTATATTGTTGTTTTGGGTAGTTTCTTGAGTTGAATTTGTTTCGGAAATGGGTAGAATAGTCCTTATCTGTTTGGAAGATAGATATTCAGGTATCTTCATCTGAATAGTAGACCACTGATTTTGAAATGTAGATTCCAGGCTAAATTATTAGAAAAACAAACAAGTAATTTCAATGGGCATTGGAATAGTGGATTTTTGTAGAGATCATCGCTGCGCTGAGATAATCCAAATGGATTTAAACCCTTGTATCTCTGAGATATGAGATGAATACTTTATCCTTAAGATACCATTTGGAATGTTAACTTTCCTTCTCCTTCCCATCGGTTGCATTCTGTTAAGTTTTGAATCACAGAATATTTGTTTCATTTTTTTGGTCTAGACCTATATATGATCCTGTGATCCTTATTCTATAGCTATAGGGAACTTCTGGTATGGAAACTCTTTATTAATGCAGATCAGCAAATCCTCTTAACTTTAGAGAGTTGCCTGGGGGCACCAGAAAGTTAAGTGAATTGGGCATGTTCATACCTTGTGTGTAACTTTTAAACCAAGCAAGGAAGACCTTCCTGACCCCAAAACTGGTACTCTATCCTATATTCCACAGTGCCTCCCAAAGGATAGAATGTGTTTTATTGGGGTAAACTACTCATAATTCCATTCTTCCCTATTGTTAGGTTGATTTTATCCCAGATTTTACTATATTTTTAGAGATGGAGAGCGTATTGTCTATTATGTATTAATGGGTAGTATGACCTGGACTGCTCTTTGGGTCCTAATGTTCTTAGTTCTTTTTGCCCTTCCTTATGACATTTTTATCCTAACAGGGTTTAGATAAAGATGTTAGAAACTCACCTTAGAAATTCCCACAGCTAAATTTATTCATTTAAGTGCATTTTAACTTACTTTAGGTGGAAACAGGTATATGGATACTTAACTAAACATCACATTCTTTCCTTTCGGTAAATGTTAAGTAAATCAAGTATACAAGCATGGGTTTCTATTGTCTGCTCTTTCAAAATATTAGGATTTCTGGGGATTAGTAGAATTTTGTTTTTTCTTTGAAAGTTTTGCTATTTATTATTTTAATCTGAGCATTTTTTCCTTTTGCGTGCCTCTCCTATTTCCCTTCCCTTGTCTTGTCCCCTCCCCTTGGTTTTTTCTTATTTTTATTCCAACAGCTTTACCTGTTCACATGGACGAAGTAGAGGCAATCCCACCATCATCTCAGGCCCAGAAATCACTGAATTCTGAGTGGTCGGTCCGGACCTGTGCAGCAGAGAAAACCACTGGGCCAACTCCAGCTACCTTTTTTAAGATGCCGCAAGAAAAAAGCCCTGGGTGCAGCTAGAGGGGTATTTTGCCCACAAAGCGTTGGCTGGATTTGTTAAAACATTTTAGATTTTGGATTGTATTGTCTCAGCTATCTTATTGGGCAATACCTATCTCATCTTCTTCAACACACTTATCTTCGACCACAGCAGCTTGAGCTCTCTATTGGAAAATCATGCCTATGATTCATTTTTTAAAAAAGTATTAACATGTTGGGGCAGTTTTAAAAAAAAATTCTTGCTGTGCTGTATTTACTATGTTAATCTGTCATTGCTGTCCCAACATCAATCTACAGCTACTTTTACAGAGCTGTTGCTTTTTTGCAGGTGTCTGTCTTTGTTGTTGTGAAACTGGTGACTGCTTTTGCATCTCATTTTGTGGCAAGGCTGCCAATATCATTTGAAGAAGAGCTGACTTTGTAGCTAGCCCCAGTCAAGTGTGAGAACTGAGTTTAAGGCTAGCATGGAATTATGTTTGGCCAGGAGGTGGGAGACCAAAACATGGAGCTGATTTCAAGGCTGGAACTTTGGAATTTTATCTTTCGGTGATCTCAGAACACCAAGATTCATCAATCGACGCTGGATCTTAGGAGAGATGTGGGCCAGCAACTTGGGACTCAGAAAAAGTTTATCCTGTCCTGGTAGATGTCTTAACATTGCTCATGATTATGCTATTCATTGCCTTCTCTCCTGTGTTCTTTTCTTGAGCAAGAAATCCCATAAACATGTACAGATTGGCACAATGAGGATGACTTAGGTGAAAATCACAGCTCTAAAGTATTTAGTGAGATATTTTAAAAAATTTCATTTCCCAAGTCAAACCCTTCCTTAAGCAGACCTTTTATCATGTGAGTTATTGTTCTCTCAAGCCAGTAACCTTAAACTCATATGTTGGTATAACAGCTCTTTTGGGCTATCTGCTTTTTTGGTAAAAATTTCTGTCGTCTTCCTTCATATTTGAAGTTGCATTGTGAAAACCTGTAGTCATACCTGAGGTTAGTTGCAATGCTGTCGATTTGAGGGATAAGTAACTAATTGGAAATGGTGAAGGGAGGCTGCCATTTCCAAATATAGTATTAGAGCCACCTGTTTAAGGGGCTTGATTAACTTAAAGGTACTCACTGAATATTTTTTGAATACTTTATATTGTGAAACATGTAAGAGTAAACTGTAAAAGAGTAAACAAAGTGACTGTCTCTTACATGCATACTGCACAGAGTACATTCTGTAGGGACTCCCTCTCATGTCTCTGATTATTTTCTGTACTGAAGTAGATGTTGAAGTGAGACAAGTACTCCCATTTCCTGAAGCCCAGAAGCTTTTCTAGTAATAGATTACAATTAAGGAACTCCCTTACTGCTTTCCCTTTTCAAATCATACTCTTTTATATATTTGAGAGGGGTTAAGGGCCCAGCTGCTTTCTTTTCTTTGTAGAAGTATGTGTTGTCTGTTGTGGCACCTTTGACTCACTGTCAGTAGGGCATATACTTTGTGTTTTGATAATAATAGGGATGGGTTATGGCCTTTTTGTTAACTGTGATGCATTTAGTCAGTGATGGGTATGTGGCCATCATTGTAGCAAACCTACTAGCCTTTTTGTGGGCAGTTGTATAGTTGATAAGCGTGCTGGACTTGGAAGTGGGAACACCTGGGTTTGAATTCTGCCTCTGATGATTATGCAGTGTGTGATTATAGGCAAGCCACTTAAACTTTCTAAGGACACCTCTGTATCCTCTCCTGTAAAATGGTGGTGAAAAATGTCATACCTCCCAGAGTTGTTGTGAGGATCAAATGAGATAATAATGTGTTGAAGCACTTC